AGCCCGCAGCGCTCGTGGCCGCGCACCAGCCGCTCTCGCTGAGCCGGACGACGGCCGCCATCGCGCCCATCCTGAGCGTGCCGCTCTCGGGACAGTTCCTGCAGCCGGCTGCCTCGGCCGCCGCCGCCGCCGCGCAGGCCAAGTGGCCAGCGCAGTAGGGACGCGCACCCGGCCCGCGCCGCACCGCACACCGAGCGATCTCGCACGGACCGTGCCATCCCGGATCCCTACCGGCCCAGGCCCTGCTGCCGCCCAGCCCGTGGCTGAGACCTCGGCGGACTCCGGTCCCCGCGCGCACCCGAGCGCACGGAGAAGCCTCGCGCGCCCGCCGGGAATAGCTTTCCGCACAGGTAAAACCAAGCCCGAGTCCCCCCCCCCCCCCAATGCACCGAACGGCGCCAGCTCCCAGTACCTGGGGAGTGGGGAGGGAAGACCTTTGTACATATTTGTATAAAAATTATTGATTTTTCCTTTTGGGGTTTTTATTTTTTTAAGAAAAAAAAACAAATTCAGTAGATTTAGAGCTCTGAACTTTCATTTTTTTTGAAGGTTCAATCTCCGCAGTTTTATCTGAGAAAAGAATGTATAAAGCCCTTGGGAGATTTTAAATACAAAAAAAATTTTCAGAAAGGCGAAGTGTCACTATTATAAAAGTCTGTTTATATATGAATGAATATATATGGTATTCTAAATGTTATCCCTTCGTGTTGTACACAACTTTGTAAATAAATTTTTAAAATGGTCAGCCTATGTTTTATTTAGGTGTCTTTAGTAAATGTAAAGATTTTTAAATGGAATCTGCATTAGAAAGTCCAAATAATGACCATTTCAAACTTTGCTAATTCAAAGGAGGCGTTTACCTAATTTAAATTGTGTTAGTATTTTTCCTTTAGCTTTCACTTAGGGTCAGGATGTGGGTGGTAATCCCATCCATATCAACCCATTAGGTATAAGTGACCAGACAGTTCTGCAAGGCGACCTGTCAATGAGAAAAAATCTAATTGTTAAACCACAGTGATCTTTTAAATTATCTTCGACAGTGAAAACTTCACGACACTTCTTGGTCATTTTAATTCCTTTCAAAAGCGAGTAAATTCCAAACATCTCCCATTTTAGCATTTCAATCTCAGCTTTTGAAATTCCTTTCCTTCCCTTCAGTGGAAGTGCTAAATAAACCCAACTGATTGTTTAGATTTCTGCGATGGCATTTTAAATTTTGCAGTGGGATGACATCGTGTTCATTAACTTGATAATACGGTTGTTTTACGCCTTCATAATATTTTCAGTTAAAGTGTTTTTCCTTTCAATGGCTGCAACCTCTCACGATAGATTTCTCGAGGATCCCTATAGATGTTCCCTCCCTCCTGCCCCAAGCCTTTTTGACGGCCAAGGCATCGCAATTAATACCCTGTTAAAAACAGGTGCCCGCCACCCCCTCCCTGGCCCTACTTGGGCAGGGTGAGTGTGAAATGCGAGATTTTCGGCAGGAATGGGAATGTCCTCTCAGATGGTTTTAATGCCTGTTTGAGCCACTTCGACCTTTTAAAAAAGAAATTAAGGCACAAATGAAATGGTGGCGCGGGAGTCCGGTTCCTTCCTCCTATCTTTGGACTGCATTAATTCTAATTATTTTGTAATTAATTTAGCCATTGTAATCACTTATAAGAAGTTGCTTGCAAATCCAGAGTGGAGGCTGCGCGCCGCGCACCCGCCACCGGGCGCGACCGGGCCATCCTGTGCTGTCGCCTGCCCGGAGATACCACCAGTGCGACCAGGCCTGCTCCTTGCCCAGCGAGGGCTCAGGGTCGCTATGGAGCTTTTCCCCTCTCACGCCCGGTCTGCTCCCGATAAGTGGTCCCCTTCACGACCTAGACGAACAACGTAGCTCCGGCTCGGGCCTTCAAAGGAAGCAGAACGCAGAGCGAGCGCCGGGAACCGGCAGCTTCACCGGGGAGTCACGGCTGCGCGTCCCAGCCCAGGCCCTCTAATCTCCTCTTACACAGAAAGCTAAACGGATCTAAATTTGTTTGTGTGTTGCAGCTATAAAAGTAACAAGTTGTTTCACAGTTGTGTCTGGCTAATCGGTTTTTACACAAACAGCAAATGGTACACGATTTGTGCAAACACGCAGAGGTTACAGCTAAATTTAGCAGGCACCGCTGGGGAAGGGAAAGGCTGAGCTTCTTGGATTCGCTTTTAGCTTCAAGAAGCTGCTGATCCAAGGCTTCTAAATGACATCGGATAACAGGGCCTCATTCCATCCATGATCCTTTGTTACTTATAAAATTACTCGCTCATATTTCCGCGCATAGCAGCGATGCCGGCCGCGCCTGAGGGACGCGCAGCCGCCTGCAGCCTCCGGCCCGGCTCCGCAGCGGGTGTGGACCTGGGAGACCCGGCAGCTTCGCCCGGACCGGGACCAGGACCACAGCGGGCCTTTGGCGGGGGCCCACGGGCGCCTTGACAGGGAGGACGGGCCAGGCCCGGAAAGCATTTGGGGTTCAGCTTTTCAGAGTGCGCGAACCGGAGCAGAGCGGGAAGGGCAGGCATCCGGGAGTGAATTCTGCGCTTAGTGGGGGCAGGGACCCATGTTCGGGCTGAGGATGCGGCACCTGCGAGTAACAAAGACCCTGAAATCCGCCTTGCCCTGAACCCGGAGATAGCACAACCGACACCCGCTTTTTATTCTCCTATGAATAGAAACCAAAGGAAGGGAGGGAGATTTATTTGAAAAAAAAAGGAGCAAAATGGGTTGATTTTTTTTTTTTTGGGGTTGATCTTTATGGTCAGGGTTTTAGTTTTGGGCGCTGATTCTAGAAATTGATCCGTCCCTGACCGTGGCCCCCGGCGGGGTCTGGGGACCCTGCTGCGGTTCCTGGAGAGGTGGCTCTGAACCTGGTCCAAGCCTGCGAGGACAGCGAAGGTGCGCGCACCCGGAGCGCACTCCCCACGCACCCGTGGCGCGCGCGGCCTGCAGGGGGCGACTCTCAGGGGTGACCCTGGCCCTCGGGCGCAGCCCCTGTACTGCCCCACCTGGCTCCGCCTCTGCGCACTGTGGTCCGGACTCGGCGGACCCAGGAGAAGCTGCGCCCCAGCCCGACTCCTGGAGTCTGTCCTGGGGCTGCGCCACCTTGCTGAAGCGCAGCGGGGAGATGCGGTTTGGACAAGACGGCGGGTCGGGTGCGGGAGCTGCAGGCTCTCGGAGAAGAGGAGGACGCAGAGGCTGCGCACGCTGGCCCGGGGGAAGCTGTGCCCAAGGGAAGGACCGAAGCCCGGGCCTGTTCCTCCGGCCCACGCGTGTGGGCAGCGTGTGGCAGCGGGGGTCTGTGTCGTGGGAGGGGCGTCAGGAAGCGGGGAGGATTTGCAAAGGCATGCTTCCCGCGACTTTGCCCAGACTTCTTCGCCCAGACGCCTC